GTCTCACTGATACTTAAAGGTCACTGTGAGTTTGTTTTTGAACAAAATGACATAAAGTATTAAAAAAAGTCTCACTGAGCCTCAGTTTTCACATCAGCAAGTTGGGTGTCACCATTACCCCTGATGCAGTTTGGAGACATTATATCAAATATTGCATGTTAAGCGGCCAGCCTCAAGCTGAGCACCTTGGGAATGCTCAGAGAATGCTTTTTCCACTCTTTTTTTTTTTCCGGACCCACGGATCGAACTCAGGCCCTTGTGCTTGCCAGGGAAGCGTTTATTCCACTGATCTGAAGTCAGATCTGAGCTATTTCCCCAGCCCCTTTCTACTCTATTATTAAAGTGCTTTCATGATGGCCCAAGAGATTAATTCAGAGGAGGGGTTGGAGTTGCTGAGCAAGTTCCCCCAGCTGCATTCTCAGGCAGGAGAACGGCCAAAGCCCAAGACAAGGATGAGACAAAGTGCCAGAGTGGGGGCATTGGGGGAGTTGAGGTAGCACAGAAAAGGTAGCTAGGGGCAAGGTCTCAAGATTCGCATTCAGCTCCTGACTAATTTTTACAATGGGCAAATTTCCTGACCTTCTGCCCCAGTTTGTTCACCTACAAAATGGGGACAATAATTTTGTTCTTCATAACAAGAGTTGGTACCTGGTGCTCTTTGGGGCCTGGCTGCCGCCCTTAAGAAACAAATTCTGTGGGATGGAACAGCCTAGCGGTTGGTTGCAAGGTAGCCTCAGGAAGAAGCCTGCTCAGGTCAGCCTTCTCACTGTGGGTTAGCGTCATGGCCTGCAGCAATGTATTGAACCTGCGCTTAAGCCATAAGCATCCTCACTTTGAAAAGCTGAGGGGCCTGGGAGATAGCTCAGTTGAATAAGCGCTTGCCTGGCAAGCGCAAAGAAAAGCGGAGGTGACAACAACGGTTCCTTTCTCAGAACTGCTGCTGGGACTTGCTGTGCTGCTGCCCACGAAGTGCTCAGCCAAGGCCTTGACTCACGTTAGGGTCTCAGTAACTCCCCAGCATTACTTCTCCCTGGTGTCTGAGGGTTCCTCGGAGGCAAGGGGGCCCCTATCTATTTAAAGAAACTCTGAATCTATGAAATTTTCTTTTTGATCTCTCCCTTGAAAAGAGAAGAAAAATATTTCCACGCCTTTCATGCATTCCCAAACTGACCTGCACACTATGCAAGTATGGGGCAGACTCTTGGGGACCGTGTGCTTAAACCCTGGTTTCTAGTCAGGATAACATTCGCTGTAGCACTTCTAACCTCTGTTAGACAACGATGGGGCCTCATGTGCACCACCAGACTGGTGCTTAGCTCAAGGCTGTGTTCCTTATGCAATCAATGCCTTGCTTTGATATTTTCAGAGAAACTCTAAAAGCAGTCCTGTAAAGAGAAAGAGCAATTCCCAGGTTTGGGACACCATTTCTTTTGTGTGTTTAATTTTTAAAAAATCTATTCTTTCACCTTGATCCCCTGGAGACACTCAGTAGACTGCGTGTAAAGAACAAGGGTCTAGTTTTCTTACTGTGACTGAGTATGCTTAGCTATTACCAGAGGACAAAGGCTAGAGAGACAGGTGAACCTTCCGAAGAGGCTTGGCTCTCTTTTTGTTGACTTTTCCAATCCTTATTCTCCCTTGAAGGAGAAGGAATGATAATTAAAACACAAGCTCTACACCACCTCTAATGTAAGTATTGTTCTTAAGAGGAAAGGCTCTGCGGTACCAGACAAAGAACTCCTAACTACTGACCCTTAACTCTTACAAAGACAATGATAAGAAGAAAAGGAGGATGACTCCGGCATGGGAGTAAGGGCGGTAAGTCATAAGGAGAAAGAGAAGAAGAGGGAGTGGAAGGAAAACAGCCCCCAACTTTTAACAGTAAGGAAGCAGTCCTGCTGGCGTTAGCGTGGCATCGAGGGCATCACAAGATGAGCCATCCTTGCCTTCCTGTCTCCCAACCCTTCCCCTAACCAGGCCTGGACCAACACAACACTCCCAATTCCCAGTCATGGACTTTGGGAGGAGCTGTAATCTTCAGAGTGCCTCTCTCCTTACCAGTGCGGTTGTCCCTCTATGCTATCTTCAGTTTTTCAGCATAAATGCCTCCTGAAGACTCTTTCCCTGCATCATTTTCTTCCACTGGACCATTCGGAATATTCCATAGTCCTTCCTAGCATTATACTTGAGCAGAAATTGCTTCCGCATTCCTTAAACTGGTTTTGTTTTCCTACCAGTTTGGGTTTAAATGACTTTTTTCCTGGTGTCCTGCTGACCAACGGAGGCGTTGTGTGCTCTGGGGAGGGACCACATTGCTCATCTCAGGTCCAACAACCTCTACACCAGCTCTGTGAGCACTAGCAAACAATTTAAGTGCCTCAGTTTCCCACCTGGAGAATGGAAATGTTAGGTGGACGTGGTGATACACACCTATAGTCCCAGGACTTGAGCGGCTGAGGCAGGAGGATTGCTGCAAGCTGGAGGGCAGCAGGGGCTACAAAGTAAGCAGAAGGCCAACCTGAGCTGCATAGCGAGACCCTGTCTCAAAAGACAAAAATGAATGGAGATGTCAGTAACCCTGACTTCTTCAGTGTGTGTTGTAAGGATAACATCAGATAACCAGCGGAGGCTTGTCTATGGCACACACAGGTCATGTATGAGTGTTGTCTACAGCACAGCTACTGAAATTATGCAGTAGACTGTGCTTTTCTCCAAGGCAAAGCCTGGGTTTTATTCATCATTTTTGCATAGCACAGAGTCTGGCTGAGTATTTGGTACAAAATAAAAATAGATGTTTACTGGATGACTCTGCAATTAACTGACAATAGCTCTATTTCAGCCTAAATCCCTACACAGGCTTTTTGAGTCTATGACAACATTCCTATAAAAACCTACTGCGCATCTTTCTCTACCCGGCCTACCGTGTAGCCATTATCTAGAAATTCTATCCAGAAATTGATAACCTTTCTTCTCAAGGCAGGATGGAAGAGCTGAGCTCCAAGCAAAGCCTTGTTTCAGGCATCAAGGGAAGTGCCCGGTAGCCTAAATTGTAAAGTCACGATACTTCTGTTTGGCTATGGGTTGGCAACAGGGTAAGGACCTACGGAGTTACAACTTTCCTTCCTGAGGACTGGGGCCCAAGAGACTTAAGCAAAGAGGAACCAGAGCAGAGAGCAGACTGACCAGGGATGAAACAGGAGAAGAGTGGCTGTAGGGAGCAAGCAAGCCTGAGGGGAAAAGAGGCTATGAGAGGTAAGGGGGAACCCTGCACCCGGCTGGGGAGATGGAACCTTCAGGGATGTCAGCCACAAACCGGAAAAACAAGGAGACTACCACGACGGGTATGGCACAGCCTGGGAAATAAAGGCGCTGAGGAAAAACCATAGGAGCAAGCACAGTGCTCAACATCTGAGAGTTGCTCCTTAAAAACTCAGAGCTTTCTCACGTGTCTGCTTGCTCCATCCTAGTCGCTCCCTAAGTCAGGAGCTCAGGGTGGGCGCTGGACCCGGGTCTCAACGCAGAGCTCCAGTTCCTTTAGAGCTCAAATGGTTCAAAGGTTAAGTCGAACACACCAAGCTCCATTCTGGTACACAAGTGGAGGTAAAAAAGCAGGTGGGCATATTTTGACTTCCATTCGCATGCCCAAGGAAGTGTGGGGGTGACCCCGGGGTTGGCCTCCCTCAGGCCCCCTGTGCTAGGAGCTCTCTTCAACACTTCCCATCTGTCCTCCCACCGTCTACACGCAGGGTGACCGTGAGGGCACACCCTTTGAAGAACAGCAGCCTCTGAATCCTGGGAAGAGCAGAGCCCCTGCTCAGCTCATGCCCTTTGCAGAAGGGAGTAGAGAAGGAGGAGGGGGACAGGATTGCCTGTTTGTTTCCTGGAACACCCTGTTAAGAATTTCAAAAATTGCAGCCACAGTGCTATCCTCTGGCAAACAGAGCTCTCCTAGGCTTTCTTAGCCTCGCGGAATCCAATTCACAAACACACCATCTTGCATTCAACATTTAGAAAAACAAGCAGTCCGGCGAAGGAGACGGCATTCTAGAGCAGTCTAACTCTTGCATGGCTTTTGACTGGCTCCTGCCATGGGCAGGGAGGAATTCCTTGACCCCTGATCTTCTAGTCCCTCCGCTCCAGATCCACTTGGGTGGAGGGTACGAGCTGCGCTTAAAACTAAGGATCTGGTTGGGCCCTAGGCCTTGACAGTATAAAAGTAACCAAAATGTGCGAGCGCTCAGATTTTAAGAGCATGTAATTGCTTATTATCCTCACGGGAAACCTGGTGAAAAGAAATGAAGGCCTCTCTTAAAGGTAACTAAGATTAGAGGGCTCGGTTTCCGTTTTCCGTGGGCCGAACGCCCAGGCCGGTCAGCGAGTTTCTCTGTGCGGAATGACGAATTCCTCTCGCCTGAATTCTAAAATGATAACTTAGCTTGGTGCTGCAGCTGCGAACGTCTGGCGCCAAGAGACCCGACCGTGGTCGTGGCTTTGCGCAGGGAAAAGAGTAGGGGGGAGGGTTGGAAAAGGGCGAAGAGCCTAGCCTTGGCGAAAAGTCGGGAGAGCTGCGAAAAGGGAAGTAACGGCGACTCCTCCCGGCCTCGGCCCCTTTAAGTGCTTCACTGACTCAGCTAAGCTTTCCCCTCAGGTCGCGTTTTTTATGAATGAAAAACGTCCTTACATTCATTATATAAACAAGCCTGTGCTGATTGGCCAATGGCCCCCGGTGCATAAATTATGTAAAAATAGACCCACGAGGGGGTGGAGAGAGACCCACAGTCGACCAATGGAGGCAGGAGTTGGTGGGGCGGCTCGGTTGGATTTGCTCGAAGACAGGGTAAACAAGCGGTGATGGACGGCCGCGGGAACGGCCTCTGGCCAATGGGAATCACGCTAGGTTGGGGCCGCGAGCCAATGGCGGCGGGCGGAGCAGCGGGCCGCGGGGGGCCGGGCCAGCGCTCCAGCTTGGTTGGCAGCTGCAGCGCAGAGTCCAGCGGCTGGTGCGCGGAGCAGTTCGCTGTCTCCAGAGCGGTTCGGCCCAGCCATTCGCCTCGGCGCCCAGGCCCGGTGCGCGCGTGCGTGAGCGCGCCTGCGCCGCCGGAGCCGCTGCCAGGGGGGAGGGCGGCCACTTCAGGTGAGGAGGCGTTGCGGGGACGAGGGGGTATCGTTGGGGCTATCCTGCTGCGGGTCCCAGAGGCCCAGCTGGCGAGAGTTCACAGGCTGACCTGGAATTCTTAAAGTCGGTGTGCACATCTGGGGCGACTCTCGGGGGCTGACTGACCCCTTCCCCCACGGCCTGGCCAGGTCAGGTTCGGTTCGGTTCGTGGGAGGTATCGGGCGGGGGCGGCTAACGGTTCCGGAGCGCACGGAACGCGAGTTTCCGCACCTGGCGGGGGAGGCGCGCGGGAGCGCGGGGTGCGGGGCCCCGGGGTGGGGACGGGCAGGCGCGGAGTCGCTGGGCTTCGGTCTCCGGAGATCTGAGAGCCCGGAGGGGACTTGGAGGCTCGCGAGAAGAGACGCTTGGCGAAGCTTTGCAATTGGGAGGAGGGGCGGGAAGCAGTTAGGGTGGGGGAATGTTTGAGAGGCGCTGCCCCCCAGAACGTCCAGAGGGCTTGGATGACACAGGCATGTGCAGCCTGCGGCGTTGGGGGGTCGGCCAGCAACTTCGGCGGGCCTTGCAAGTTTCAGGTTGTGGAAAGTGGACACCAGCCGCTCCACTCCCACCCCCGATGCTACGAGGCGGTCGGGCTGCGCCGCGACTCTGGAGAAAATTTGGGGAGCCCCAGCACAGGGCCTGGGGATGGTGGGGAGAACGCGGTTGCGGAGCAGGGACGGAATGATGCAGGAGCCTCGCGCTGGATCGCGGATCTGGCTGCATTTTTCGGAGGGGAGGGGGAACCTCCTGGTGGAGGAGGGGGCGCTTAAGAGAGATGCTTGGGTGGGGGGGTGAGTTGGAAGCGACTGGTAGCTGTTGGCGCAGCACCTAGTTTTTATGAATGTGGGTGACTTTATGAATGAAGCGGGTTTCTTTGGCTTTCTGCTGCTTGCGGCTCCCCCCCCACCCTTTTCGTGAATGAAGCATTGAGCTTTCTTCCTAAAACGCTGGGGTGAGGGGCCTGCGTTGGAGGCTGGGCCTGCGTTGGGAGTGGGGGCGGGGGCGCAGGCGAAGGAGTTTTCATGAATGGGGAAGGCTGGGAATTGGGTGGAAGTGTGTCTTGTTTTGTGAATGGGGCCCAGCGCGAGGGATCCAGTTACAGCCTCTACCTGATGTGGCGGCCGCGGCTCACTCTCCCATTCATAAAACCGGGCCGCTGCGCGCCACGGGGGAGGGGCCTCGGTCGCTCCGCGGCGCTGTGTTAAAGTTTTCCTGGGGGCACCCGCGAGGAGGGGGGCACAAAGGAAGTGGTTTAAACTCCTGGACGCGCTCGAGCCTTCCCTCCAGGTTTAAAAAAATACTTTGAACGCGATGTTTTTAGCCCTTGAACTGTGAGAGGAAAGCTTCGTTTAAAGATTCCCAGGCTGCTTTTGGATTTGCTTACGGCACTTTCTTTCTTGAAAAAATTTAAAAGATATTTTTGCTCTTCTGGGTGAAGTATTTCATCATGACGCTGAAAATATCTCTCCCTCTGGTCTCTTACTCCTTGCCCACCCTCCGACATTTACAGACTTTCTAAGGCTACGGTTTAATCAGACAGATTTTCGTAGGCAACAGAGAACTCTTTCATGCCCCTCAACTCCTTGCTAAGGTTTCTCAGATTTTGTAATCGGGTTGGAGACCATTTGAGAAAGAGACTTTATTCTGAACCTTATTTTATTTTATTTTTTTTTAATTTGGAAGGCAGGCAAGCGAGCGGGAGTGTTTTTCTAGGAAGTTATGAACTGTGCTATTTCGCTCCCCACCTTTGATTTTGAAATGGGCCAAATGCTTAAAAGGAGCCTGAGCGTGAAGGGCTGTCTTGTGTCCTGCTAAGTTATGAAAATTTGACATATTGCACACAGTGTGAAAAACAAGTTTCCTATTTAAAAATTGTGTGCAAGGTAAACAAAAGAAATTACTCCTTATGTAGCTTGCATTGCTTAGAGCTAAGGGTAAGTGAAATTAAATGTTTTTCTCTTTGGTTGACCAAACTCCGTTTTTATATGGAAAATAAAGCAACATATTTAGGGAAACAGTACCTTCCTGAAATTGTTTTATTCCTCCAAATTAGAAAAAATTCCATCCTCTCCCTTGACCTCAGCCTCTCTCCCCAGCCCCACTATTTAGCAGTACTAATCAGAGTTGTTGGGTGTGTGTGTGTGTGTGTGTGTGTCTGGGAAATTTGACTTAACCCTGAGAAACAAACTGAATTTTTTCCATGGATCATTTATTTTTACTGCCTTTTTAAAAGGCCTTTGGTAAAACTGCATTTAACATACAGTGGAATTTAGTTTCCTTTATCCATTATTTTTATAGACTTTTTATTCTGCTAAAGGTTTGAGATATCACAGATAACTCTTAAGTTGCCATGGAGACATTTGTGACATAGTTATACACCTGTTTGGACAGAAGGTTAGTTTTAAGTAAAGAGTTGTGTGTGAAGAAAGTACACTTCTGATAATGTATTCCTGGAATTCTACATAGTTTTTCTTTTATCAGTGATCTACAAAGTACTTTTAGATGCTGTATTCAGATTCTTAATCACCAACAATTTAGTTTCTCAACGTACTGTCAAAAACTAAGTTACCTCTTTAAAAAAAATTGTACTGTGAATGCCCTGGCAGAGCATACGCAGAGATTCTGAAAGTTGCCCTTCATGATGAAAATAAGGTGGCTTTTGGTTTTCTGTCGTTGATAAGGGACAGTCAGTGCCAAAATTCTGCAATCTTAATGATTACAGAGAAGAAATGGCAGAAAAAGATGACGGGTAACTGGATTTGGCGCTGAATATATGTGACACCACTAATCAAGGCCAGCGTGGGTCAGAAAGCTCACGCCTGTTGCGGCCTTTGCGAACAGTACCTGAGAACAGGGTAGTGATTTCGATGGAGGACCTCAGGAGAGAGCAGTATGTCATTGCTTCATCTCTTTTTTCCTCTTCTTAAAATCTCCCAAATTGATGTTACAGGAGGATCCTTTTCCCCCAGAAATTACTCAATGCTGAAGCTTTTTGGATTGGTACTAGAGTCATTGGCAGCACCATGGATGGGTTTTATGATCAGCAAGTCCCTTTCATGGCCCCAGGGGTAAGTTCACGTGCTGGGCTCTTCTGTGAGAGCCTTCTCCGCACTGGCTCAGCCCCCTTCGGACCTCTTCACGACACCTAAATCCTCCTTCTGTGGTGGTCTCTTTCAGAAATCTCGAGCAGAGGACTGTCGAGGGCGGCCTGTGATTGACAGAAAGCGGAAGTTTTTGGACACAGATCTGGCTCATGATTCTGAAGGTAGGGAAGCTTCTCTCTGCTATCTTGTGTCTCCTTTAAGTCACTCAGCGGCCGTGCTGTGCAGATCCTTCCCCCTTTCCTTCCTAGTAGAAGAAATATCCTCATTCTGGGCTCTTCTGTTTTCAATTCCAGAGCTGTTTCAGGATCTTAGTCAACTTCAAGAGGCTTGGTTAGCTGAAGGCAAGTTCCTTGGCTGTCCTATTTTCCACATAAAACATTTTACAGTGCCTTTTAATAAAATTTAAAGGTCTAAAATAAAAATCTCTTTTCCAGCACAAGTTCCTGATGATGAGCAGTTTGTCCCAGATTTTCACTCTGATAACTGTAAGTACCTTTTCTACTGGTGACACGGTTGTTCTGAAACTGGTCTTGGATCACCCACGCCTAGAATATTCTTCAGTTGTAGCCCTCAGATGTGGATGGTGCTGTGCACGTAGTTTCTTTTTATAATTCAGGGGTAGCCCAGAACATTTTTGTTTCATTTGTCATTGAAATCATTTCTAAAGGGGTTCTAGTCTGTTTCAGGCAAGACCTAACTGAACATAATTTCATCTGAAATCTCATTTTACGTTAAGCATCCTGCAGAGCTTTAAGTTCAAAATTATAAATTAACTGACATAGGCTGGGCCAAGGGACTATTAATGGTGTTTTCTTATGGCCTCTTTTATTCATAATTTAAGTCTCTGATGTGAATGATGAAGCTAGCATTTTTCTTTCTTAAAGGTGCAGAAGAGAGTGCGTTGAAAATTCTAGTGCATTATGGTCTCACCTAGCACGTGGTCAGTCTTGTTCCTTAGACTATCAGGGGACTGGTCTGGGAATAACCTGATGGGTTACTTTTCATGTCCTTGCTGGGACTCTGCTCTTCAGAGAAGAGTTGAAACCTTTTTCTTCAGATAGTCATTAGGTGCTCATGGCTCAGGATAATAAAATGCAAGGAGCAGCTGCAGAGAGGGCCCTTGGCACCGGCGGGCGGGTACGTTAGCTTTGCTGAATCTTTCAAGGCTGTCCTCAACAGGTTGGGAGCTTTTATGGTCCGGGCCTAGCAGAGCTATCAAGGACAAAGCGGGCTGATGAAATTTGAGCAGCGCAGGGCTGCTCTAGAGAGCATTAGTCACTGGCGAGCCAGCAGGCTTAGGAGAGGCCTGGAGAAAATCTGCCCCTCTTGAGGGTTGCATCATAGAGAAATTCATGTCTCTTAGTCATAGTTTATAATAGCAAGCACCTGAGGCAGGGAGGATTCGATTTCTCATTTTGCACCAAGCCATTCTTCCCAGCTTTGTTTTGTCCCTGGGGGGCGCACCCATGTGCACACATACGTGGGCAAAAAGTGCCACAGGGAGGGACAGGATCTCTGGGCCTAAGTAATAGCTGGGTATTCTCAATCTATTAAATGAAAGAAGAGAGGAACCAGCTAAACATTCTTTAATGATAGGCCTCCTGTGCAAGGCACAATGCCATGAAACTTTAAAAGGATTGTCTAACCCACAGATGCCTGGTTACCTTAGCTTTGCCACAGCTTGCTGTGGTGTTCTCTATAGAAAACAAATGCATGTTAATTATTGCTCTTTGATTGCTTTCAAGTGATTGGGAAGCTTGCCACAGAAAAGCTAAATAAAGATAACCCGGATTGTATGTGTGTGTGTGTGTTTGCAAGATGAAAGACAGAATTTATAATCTGACTTTGTTCTGTTGATAATTTGGCCCATCCTTTCCCGTTCTTGCTCAGAGCAGCATAAACTGCAGTCTGTTTGGGAGGTGGCTTTCTTGGCAGAAGCTCTTTGAAATGTTTTTATGACACGTTTGTTTGTTTCTCTGTAACTCAAAAGAGTTAAAAGGGGGGTGACACTGCGTTCAGATTGATGGCATGTGCGGCAGGAGGGCCTGTTCTTTAAAGAAAGATGTCAGCCAACAGGATTTGTATTTGAAGAGAGATTTATCTGGGGGAATAGACTAAGCAAAGAAATCAATAAATATGTTTTGGCTCCTTAGAAATTATTCCTGCTAGCAAATAAAATGTGCTAAGTTCTTTAATTAAAATACCAGACCTTAAATGGAGGTGTTTTGGGAGATGTCCCTGCCGACCAAGTATATGTTTTTGACTTTGTTTGCTTTTTGCTTTAAATGCTTACAGTTGAGCTTTTCTAGATTGTAATGATAAAACATATGGTCTACAAATTGGTAATTCTTTCCCCCTCTGGCTCTTAACTCTTGAGGTGGAGCTTGAGGAAGGACAGCTTCAGATAGGTAGGTTGACTTGCCAGAGAGGCTGGGCAGGAGCCAGAGTTGAAGGCAGGAGTGCAGCCTGCAGCCACTTCCTTCAGCCTGGGGTGCTTGACTGGTTCAGACCCACAGGGGAGCCAGGAAGTTGTGAGTCCCTTACTTCCAGTGGCACTTCTCATAGCCTTGTGTGGAGGAGCAGCTTGCACTCTAGTCATCTTCTGGAAGATTCGTCCAGGGGAAGGAAAGAACCAGATTCAAGTTCAGCAGAGCATTATGAGGAGGGTTGAATCAACCAGTCAATGAGTGACACGATACGTTCAACTTAGCATTTGGCAGGGAAAGCAGGCCTTTCTTTCCTTCAGTATAAGAAAACATTTGTAACAGATGCAAATGTTCCTGTTACAGCGGCCACTGGTAATGGTATGTCTTCGTAACAGTGATTTGAGTAATTTTCCATTGTGGATGCAATGAGAGACTGTGGAATATGAAAAAGAGAAATAGTGAGTCATGTGTTTAATTGGTTTTATTCTATCTTAAGTGTTCTGTGGCTCTTTTTTTTTTTTTTTTTGGTAGTAGGAATCGAACTCAGAACCTTGTGCTTGCCAGGCAGGCACTTACACCATTGAGCTATATTTCCAGCCCTTGGTTTTGTTCTAGAATACCAGTTTTTAATATTATATTTGTGTGTGTTTATTTTTATAAATATACACATTCAACATCTAAAGAGATGGTAATTTTGGAAGCATTTAAGAGTTGGATTATGAATCTTACAGAAATGCCCAGCTTACCGTGTAACTAGAGATTTGTGAGATTCCTTATCTGGAAAACTTTATAATAGACAAATTCAAGGACGCAGAACGCTCCCTGTAGACTACAGGAGGCAAGGGCCCTGCAGTGGTCCCAGGCCCTAAGAAGTAAACTTGAAGATCCCAAATGGAGCTGGCAATCCCTTGTGAGTGTCTTTGCTCACCCCACCCCACCCTCCACTTTTATGGAAAAGATAATCCAAGGCCTGGATAGCTGGAGAGCCTGGCCAGTGCATTAGGGGAAAATGGAAAGAAAGCATTAGGTGAAATGAGAGGAAAAAACACTATATGGTGACATCGTTAAAGTTCTCCCAAAGCTGTGGATTTAGAGGCCACTGGCCCACCCAGGGGATTGAGGCTCTCCCTATTTCAGACATCAGAAGGGTCACTGTGTGACCTAGATAGGCCACACATCCGGTGTAACGCCTCAGTTTTCTTTCTCTTGAGATCCTGGGGAAACTACCTTTTACTTCAGTGCTTTTGAGTTTTTCCTTTTAGGACTTGGAAGACAGCAAGAAATTACTTTGGTTTGTTTTTTGAGACAGGGTCTCACTATGTAGTTCAGGCTGGCCTTGAGCTCACTTTGTAGCTCAGGCTAGTCTCAAACTCTTAAGTGATCCTCCTGCTTCAACCTCCTGGTGCTGGCATTACAGGCGTGTGCCCCTGTGCCCAGCTAAGAAACTGTAAAAGAAAAAAAAATCATTAAAACTGAGAGGGGGATGGGGAGATAGCTCAGTGGCTTAAACGCCTGCCTTGAAAGCACAAGGTCCTGAGTTCAATCCCCAGAACCAAAAACCACCCCCCACAACTGAGAGATTTGCTTGTAGACATTTTAATATGTATACAGATAAAAATGCATGTAAGGGTATATATATCCTGTATATTTATAAGTGTATATACATATAAATGAGGATAGCTAAGTATATTATCACAGAGCTACCAAACTTGGGAATCTGGGTCAATCCATAGATGTATGTACAGTACTTCTTTACTACACGTTTTCATAGAATTAACAAAGTCATGGAGGTTGGAACTGCACGCTTTTGTTGAGGGGGTAGGATGGCCATCGCTTTCACTTTCAGTTCACTGCCCCAGGACCTAAGGGTCTCTTACTAGGTATTAGTGTCTATAAAGAGCACTTTGCAAAATGCAGATTTCAGTTCAAATTTTAAAAATCATATTCATTTCATTGGTGGTATTGTGACTAATTACCTATCAGCATATTGGGTAACTGAAGTGTTTTGTACTAAGGAAGAAGGCATGATAAAATCTTATTTTAAAATTCTAACCTCCATACCAAATATAGTTTAGAGAATTGTTTTAAAATCCAAATGACCCTATTTTCCCCTTGAAGGGTTCTCTTTGGTCGGGAGGAAGTACCACTAATTTCCTAAGGACCAGCTAATTAACTGATAAAATCTTTTCATAAAATACATTGCCATAGATGGCTGAGGAAATAGGATTAATTTATGATAAAACTTGAGTCTAAAACACACTGATCTTAATCCTGTGTCCCTGTGAGATTATTCCACTGGATTTTTCTTTTAATAAGCTAGGGCCATAGCTGTTTGACAAGAACCTCCTAAAGTCTTTGGGCAGGGGAGCAAGCACTGAGCCCTTTGTGAGAGGATCCCGAATGGAGACCAGGCTGTTTATTGGCTCTTTAGGAGCCAGTGATTGTGAAGAGGAGGCAAGGGAAGAAAAAGAACACTGAAAAAAGCATGAGGAAAACAGAGGAGAGAGGATTGATTCTGGGTTTTACAATGTAACCTCATGTGTTTGAGACAAACAGTCTACTTTGGCATGGAGAGGGTGCCAAGCGATTTGAAGTTCTTTGCATTTTGGTACTCAGATCTATGGCTATACCGGCTAAGACCTAGGGAATCCATTAATCTTAAAAAAGCATGTATTTAGCGAAATCTTTCATCTAACTAACTAAGCTGTTTATTTATTTTAGGTTCATTGAAAACAATTTAATTTTTTTTCTTGTTGCTTTTAGTCCTCTAATAATTTCCCGTCCCTTTGGATGAGAATGGCTTCAGGTGGAGAATGAGTCTGCATCTGTCAGACGGGTCACTTGTTCAGGTGCCAGGAGTAAGACAATCCTGGCCTCAGTCAAGAAATCTGTATTTCTCAGTGGAATAAGCACTTCCCTGGCAAGTGCAAGGGGCTGAGTTCAATACCTGGTTCTGCAAAAAATAAACATAAAAAAAATTAAAAAAATAAAATGTTTAATCTCAAAAAAAAAAAAAAGAAAAGAAAAGAAATCTGTATTTAGGGGCTGGTGAGATGGCT